GCACGGGGTCACACAGCTAGTAAGGGTCAAGTGTTTGGTCTGAGGCCGGATTTGAACTCAGGTCCTCCTAACTTCAGGGCCAGTGCTCTATCCACTGTGCCACCTAGGTGCCCCACTGACTTCTTTTTATTATTAAACATGCTAGCATTATTAATAAAATTATTAAGTCACCCCAAAATTATGTCTCTTGAGTGTTTTAAACATCACACCACAAAGAATCTTAGAGCAGAGTAGATCATAGGTGGAGAGCTGGAAACAGACCCTAGAGCTCATTCTAGTCCAACCTTCTCTCTACCCCATTGTACAGATGAAGAAATTGAGGCCAAGGGGTTAAACACTAGAAAACCCAGGCATGTCATTCAGCCCCAAAATTTGCTTGGTCCTTCGAGGAATTCTTAAATTCTGGTCCTTCTAGTGAAGTGGCTTGCCCAAGGTCACAAGGTAAGTAACAAGAGCCAGAAATTGCACCCAGGTACTTTACTTATGGTTCAAACACTCTTTTCACCGTGCGAGCTTCCCAAGACCAAGAAGCCCAGCTCTTCTGCTCGAGGGTCCCAGATATCCTCTGGGGTGGTCCAGCCTGAGCTTTAAAGAGCAGAGAGGGTACTGATGATTTTTCCTTAAAACTGGCTCCTTTTTCTGGACTTGCCCAGTTCCATCAATGGCACTGACATGCTGCCAGCCATTTGTGGCTCATAGTTCAACCTCTGTCCCCAATTCTGTTTCTGTAATACTGCTTAAATCTGTCCCTTCCTTGCCATTCCCATTCCCACTACCCTAGTTTTTGCTGTCTCTCACCTAGATTATTTCTGGGGCCTCCTAACCCTTCTCCCTGTTTCCAGTCTCTCCTCATGCCAAATCTGCCTATTAGTCCTAGAGTGACACAGGGGATAGAACTGGGAGAGCTGAGTTCACAGCTGCCTCAGACACTTCATTACCTGTACGACCTTGGGCGAGACACTGAAACCACAGTTTCCTCAACTGTAGAATGGGAATAACACCAGAACTCTCACAAGGTTGTTGTGAGACTCAAATGAGAAAATGTTGTGAGGATCAAATAAGATAATATTTGCAAGGGGCTTAGCACAGTGCCTGGCACATACTAGATATTATACAAATACTGGTTATTATTATTATTATTATTATTATTATTATTATTATTATTACTATTAACTGTGGCCTAATTTATCTTACTAAAGCTCTCTTTCGATCACATCAACCCACTGATCACAAAGCTTTAATGACTTCAGGTTGTTTGATGGATAGGTTCCTGACTTCTTGGCCTGTTATTCAATACCCCATTGGGGAGCGAGAGGGGAAGAGGTAGGCAGGTGGAGTGAAACTAATCAATCAACCAACAAACATTTATCAAGAGCCTACTCCATGCCAGGCACTGTGCTAAGTGCTGGGGATACAAAAAAAGGAAAAAAATAGTCCCTGCCCTCAGGGAGCTAACAATCTAATGGGGGGAGACAAAAAGCAAATAATTATATACAAAGCAAGCTATATACAAGGTAGATAGGAAGTAATTAAAAAGTAAAAGCACTAGAATTAAGAGAGGTTGGGAAAAGATTCCAGTAAAAGATGAGATTTTAATCAGGACTTAAAGGAAGCCAAGGCAGGTCAGTAGTTGGAATGGAGGAGGGAAGCTTTCCAGGCATGAGTGGTAGCAAGAGAAAATGCCTGGAGCTGAGATTCATGGAACAGCCAGAAGGCCAATGTCACTGGCTCAAAGAGTACATGGTGGGGTGTAAGGTCTAAGAAGACTAGAAAGGTAGGAGGGGTCTAGCTTATGAAGGGCTTGGAATGCCAAACAAAATATTTTTGTATTTGATCCAGGAGGCAATAGGGAGCCACTGGAGTTTATTGAGTAGGGGTGTGACATGGTTGTTCTTAAAAACGGTATTGCTGTTACTGTATACAACATTTTCTTGGTTCTGGCTAGAGAAAATCACTTTGGTAGCTTAATGGAGGATGGATTGGAGTGGGGAGAGATGTGAGGCAGACAGACCCACCAGCAGGATATTACAATAGTCCAGGAATGAGACGATGAGGACCTGCAGCTGAGCGGTGGCAGTGTCAGAGGAGATAAGGGGGCATTTTCAAGAGATATTGCAAAAGCAAAATAATAGACAGGCCTTGGTAACAGATTGGATATGGCAGGGAATAGGGGGTAAAAAGTACTAAGAAGTTCAGGTTTTGAGTGTGAGGGACTGGGACCATAGTGTGTCCCTCTGCAGTAATGGGGAAGGGGAGAAAGGTGTTAGAGGGAAAGATGACGAGTTAAGTTTGGGGCATATTGAGTTTAAGATGACCACTGAATATCCACTTTGAGATGTCTCAAAGGCAATTAGAGATGCGAGATTGGAGGTCATCAGAAAGGTTTGGGCAGTATAGGCGGATATGAGAATCACAGCACAGAGATGGTAATTAAATCCATGGAAGCTGATGAGATCACCACATGAAGTTATTATTATTCCTCCTTCATTTTTTGAAGAAAACTAGTGACATCACAGGATAATGTCTTGATTTGCACATGAGTTGGATTTAAGTGAGACAGAGTTGCATAAAGTCAACAGTCTCACTCTCTCTTCCAGAGTCATCAAAATCCAGTGACAAGAAAAAGTCAAGATGACTGGCGATGACCAAACATGAAGTGGATGACCTTGGTGTCTTCAATATCTTACCAAGGTCTAAGCACTTCACAGCACCTGATATAGCCACCTTCATGGCCATTGGAACAAATTGTTCCCATGCACCCATTCTGCCAGGGTTTTTACATGGTTGGGGTAGATATCCTCCTCACCAATGGGTTTGAGGACCATCAGTTATCCTTAACCTGGTTTAGTCTGTCTGCCAAGATGGTTTTACCAGGGTGTGGCTGTTGCACATACCACAGCTTCTAGGAGTCACAGGTGAGAGTTGGGTAAGGGATGAACACTGAAGGTAGATGAGCAGCCCTGAAAAGGACTTAGGAAGCCCTCACACAAGAGGTGCTGGTCCTCCTGAAGACACCATACACCCCACCAAATGAAGTAGTACAGAGGAAGAAGAGAAGAGAACCCAGGACAGAACTTTGAGTGACCCCTATAGTGAGAAAGCATGATCTGGATGAGGAGCAAAGGAGATAGAGAAGTAATGGACAGATAATTAGGAGAACCAGGAGAGAGTGGAGTCCCTAAAACCTAGAGAGAAGAGTAGATGAAGGAGAAGAGAGTGATCGATAATGTCAAAAGCTGCAGAGAAGTCAAGGAGAATGAGGACTAAGAAAAGACCATTGGATTGGACCAGATCTATGGCTTCAATAGTAAAGAGAATTTAGTATTTGTTCTACAACTTAGAATCTTAGCCAGTGGCCTGAGTCTCTGAAAGATCGATTTGCCCAGTGTCGCACACAAAGTTTGTTTCAGAGGTTTCAATGCAGGTTCTTTCTGATGCTAAGGAGGGCTGTCTATCCTCTATGCCATATTGCCTCTCCAAGAATCCCAGAGTTTAAGAAGGATATCGACAAGCTCTCTACTTACTACCCAGTACTGCTGCTCATCTTCAAATCGACCTCCAAAAAAGTAGTGTATGTGAGAAGGGCCTAAGGTCAGTGAACTGCAAACTCAATCCAAGTCAGCGATTTAATGTAGCAGCCAAAAATGGCAATGTAATCTTAGGCTGTATTAAAATAACTCTATTTAAGTCTACAATAAGAGAAGCGACAATCCCACTGTACACTGCCCTGCTCAGACTGTAACTGGAATATGTCCAGTTCTAGGTCACACACATTTTAGAAGGGATATGGCTTAGCGGGAATTCATTTACAAGAATGCAACCAGGATGACGGTGAAAGGAACTCAAAATCATGCCCTGTGAGGACCAGTTGAAGCAACTAGAAGCATTTATCCTGGGAAGAGAGGACCTTGGTGGAGGTATACTCAGAAGTGCGTTGTTAAATGTTTAACAAATATCCCTCTAGGGGGGAAAATGTTCCTAAAGTTCAGAACAGCTAGAATGGTCTCAAAAAACAGTCACAGAAGGAGAACCAGGAGGGCAGCTAGTGCAGTGACAATAATGTTGTAAAGGAAAACAACACTGAAAGACATCAGGACTCCAAAGCAATGAAATCACCAATGGTGATATGAGAGGGCTGACACAGTGAAGGAGCCACCATCTCTAGCCGCTCAGGAGAAGTGATGGAATGTGCAGAATGAGCAATTCATTTCCAGATATGACCAATGTGTTGCTTTATTTTATTTAACTTTGAGTTGTTGTAAGAGAAGGTCCTACTTGGAATTTGGGAATGGGAGACAATTGGGAAGTGATAGCAATGCTCTGAGAGAGAGAGAGAGAGAGAGAGAGAGAGAGAGAGAGAGAGAGAGAGAGAAAGAAAGAATCAAACTTTTTTTTAAAAGAAAAAAGTAACTGAAGACTTAGGGAGGAAGAGAGTGCTATGAAAGCACAAGTCACAGCTGACTATGATTAAATGGAGTTTGATTTAAATAGACTAGACTTTATATCAGCCCAATCTTGGGAAAGGGATGAAGTGTAGACCCTGTTGCCCATAAGAAATGTTACAAGCCAAACTTAAGAGAGACTATAGTAGGGAAGGGAACTTAAACATTACTCCCTTTACAATAGCAGAAATTTCATTTTAACTATGGGAACTTACAGCCTGGATGCTCTATTTCTTTAGCCTGGTTTTTTTTAGCCAATATTTCTTAAGACTGGCAAATTAAATGGATTTTTAAAAATTAATTTGTTTACTTTAATAATGTTGTCTCTTATGGTTAGGTTTCAGCCACATTCAAGAGAGGCAGAGGGTATCCTTCCCTCAAGCAAAGGGCGTCCTCCCAGACTTCACAGCCACAGGCACAGATGGAGAGAAAACAATCCCTATTCTGTACTAGAAAAAATGGCTCCTTTGTGGACTGTGAAGTTCTAAGTTAACAGCAGGTCACTTCCTTTGTGATGTCACTGGCTTTGGTAGCCACTTGCCAGAGGCCAGTGGAAGATCTTTAAGGGATGTTAAGGGTGAATTGGCAAGGATGACTTGGCTGTACAAATGGAGGGGGCTTGGGACCTCCCATGAGCAATCAATTTCCCTTCCCTCCACTCCTGCCTCCATCTTCAATATCAGAGAAACCAGGAAGAGAAAGCATCCCATAGGCTAATAAGAGCTGGTTTGGCCAAATATTGGTGAGTGGGGCAAGGTAGAGTGCCAGAGGAAGGGACAAGTGCACAATGATGGCAAAATTGTCCCTCGAGGGCCATTTTTAACTTCCTGGGAGAAGACCTTAGATTTGCTATCTCTTGGGGTCATTGCCCACTGGTCATTGCCCCTAGACCCAAGTTAAGTGGGGATGGTCTCTACCCAGCCTGAGAAGGTGACTGCTATGGGGATGCCTCAGAATCACAGGCATACCTACAGAATCCCAGCATCTTCATGGGATTGTCCTGTAACAGGAAGCAAAGTTCAAGGGATCTACCCCTGCAGAAACTCACATTATAGAGTCAAGTACAAAATGTAGACATTTAAGGGATGATTTTTTTTTAAATTTAAAATGACTATGATTATACTTTCTATTGAGAAACCATTAGGTTGTGAGGGCAGGGACTGTCTTTTTGCTTGTTTTTGTATCCCTAAGGGTTTAGCACAGTGCCTGACACAGTAGGCACTTAATAAATGTTTATTGATCAACAGAAGCCAAATAGAATTTTCTCCTTGGGAAAACCTGATCAGGAAATGTCTCTTTCTGGAGTATCACCCTATAAATGGATGTATATAATGTTTGGAGATTCAAGCTTCCCTTGGAAACGGGGGCCTTGTCTGGACTTTTCTCTTAAGGAACTTAAATAATTTTTTAGTTCTGCCACAAAAATACTCCAAACACTAGCACAAGTTAAAATTCTGTGCCCCAAAGCAAAAACTTTGCAGAGGTGATCCCACTGTAACCTACCATGCTTGGAAAATTCCAAACCATGCACCTCTGGGGAGATCCTTCCTTTTATAGATCCCAAAGCCCTGCAGGGGTATAAATCATGCTAGATGGCCACATTTTTCAGATAGTTAAAACATTACCTCCTTTAGAGTAACAAAAATTTTATTTTAACTATTTTGGGTGAGAATCTTATTCCTACACTTTCTTTTCTGATCTATGATTTCATTGATATAGGGACCTCACTTTACCAATACAAATCTGTAAGCTGTACCTTAGTATCTTAGAGAATTGCCAGAGAAATGAGAGGTTAAGTGATTTGCCCAGGATTAAATAGTCAATTAGTCAGTCAATACGCATTTATCAAATGACTGCTATATGCAAGGACACTGTGCTGAGTACTGGGAATACAAAAAGAGGCAAAAGGCAGTTCCTAAGGCAGCTTCATGAAACTCACAATTCAGCTAAGCCGGTATATGTGTCAGAAGTTTAGATCTAAACCCAGGTCATATGAACAAAAAAACCCAAAACATTGAATTTAGGGTTAGAAGTCCTAAATTCAAATCCCAGCATTGTTGCTTTCTACCTAGGGCAACTAGGTGGTGGAGTGGATAGATCACTGGTCCTGGAGTCAGGCAGACTCATCTTTCTGAGTTCAAATGTGTCCTCAGACACTTCCTAGCTGTGTGACCCTGGGCAAGTCATTTAAGCTTGTTTGCCTCAGTTTCCTCATCTGTAAAATGAGCTGGAGAAGGAAATGGCAGACCGGTCCGGTATCTTTGCCAAGAAAACCCCAGATGGGGTCGTGAAGAGTCGGACAGGACTGAACTGACCAACATGAGCAGTCTATGAGCTTATTCCCTATGTGACCTTAGGCAAGTTCTTTTATCCATCTTGGTTCCAGTTTCTTGTATGTGCTAAATGAAGGGACTGAAGTAGATAATGTCTAAAGTCTCTTCCAACGTTAAATTTAATAAGATTTTAAGATTATCAACTTTGCTCCCACTGTAAATAATTTTAGACTACTGTGATTTTTTGGGGGGCGGTGAGGTTAAGTGACTTGCCCAGAGTCACACAGCTAGTAAGTGTCAAGTGTCTGGTCTGAGACTGAATTTGAACTCAGGTCCTCCTGACTCCAGGGCCAGTGTTCTATCCACTGCACTACCTAGCTGCTCCTACTGTGATTTTTTTTAAATGTTCTTTTATCTATTTTACGTAGTTTCCTAACTTCCTACTTCTCTGGAAACGGTTACTTCTTCATGCTAGGAGTGCAAATATACCTGTATTAAGCTCTGCCTTCTACCTCATCTCCTTTCTAATTCGCTGGTTCTGATCACCTGTGAGCTTAAAAAAACAAATAAGAAATTGCACTCTAAACCACAAAGAGCTGAGTTCAAGTCCTGGCTCTGATATATCCTGCTTGTGTGACTCTGGGCAAATTACATAACCTCTCAATGCTCTAGGCAATTCTCTGAGACAAGGGAGCTGACCTGCATTACTAGAGAGAGTTTCCTCACTTTGGAGTTCCCCATGCCAATGAAATCACAGGCCTTTTCCCTATCCCTATGAGTAAAGTAAGTTTATATTTTACTTATCACTTCTGACCCCTTTTCTTTACTCACAAAGCCACCACCTCAGTTCAGGCCCTAATCACCTCTCACCTTGACCTTGCAATGGCCTCCTACTGGTCTCCCTGCCTCAAACCTTTCCCCACTCCAGTCCATCCTCCACAAAGCTCCCAAAGTGATTTTCCTGAAGCACCACTCTGATCTTTCAATCTCTTTCTCATTAAACTCAATCACTTCCCTATTGCCTCTAGGATAAAACAGAAACTCTTCTATTTGATTTTTAAGGTCTATACTTCTGGGCCTCCAACAGTCTTTCCAGCCATATTATACATTCCTTCCCTTCCTATACTATGTGGGAATCCAGCCATGCCCTTTCCCCAAATATATACTGGCTTCTAAGTGCTGAGGACCCAAGGAAGATGTGAAAGACCTATCTCTGTGCCTTAGGCCTAGTCAATCTGAATTGCTTTTTCCACTTTTCAGAAATAATACACCAGAGTAAGGTCATTGGAAGTTCATATAAAAGAAAACTATCATATTATTATCATGTAAAAGAAACTTGTCACAGGCTGCAAAGTAGCTAAGCTTTTTTCTTTCTTTCTTTGTTTTTGTGAGTTAATCGGGAGTTAAGTGATTTGCCCAGGGTCACACAGCTAATAAGCATCAAGAGTCTGAGGCTGGATTTGAACTCAGGTCCTCCTAACTCCAAGACTGGTGTGCTATTCACTGCACCACCCACCTGCCCCATGGCTGAGCTTTCTATCCCGAGTTTTTACAGAATTTTTTGAGGTTTAGCCTAGCCCATGACACTCTCCAAACCGGGAATTCCAGGTCAACCCATCCTGCTTTCGAATAACCAGAACCACTACCCCTCCCCACAAGAGAACTGTGTTTCCTGTCCCTCTTCTGACAATATTGCTCTCTCCCCCAACCCTCTTGATTCTCCCACTTTAATAATCTAGACCAGACTTATTAGTTCATTCTATAATCTAAAGGTGTTTTCAGCAAATCAGGAAAACTCTTGATTAGACAGCAAGGTTATGGACGTTTAGACCACATTCATATTTGATCACTAACTTTCCACTCCTTGACCAATAAAGAAATAAAAAGAAATATTGTAATGTCAAAAATAAACAGGCAATGCTAACAATCTAGAGTTGTATAGAGACATACCAGATAGCTTCCTGGAAGTTCCTAGATCTCTTAATATGTTCTTTTTGAAAAGTATCACTATATTTGTTTCTAGATCACCTTAATTTCAAATAAAAAATCGTCCCCTTCTCAGAGAGCCATTCTTTATAATGAAGAAAAAGAAAAGAGAAAAAGAACTAGCAAAACTGACCAACATATCAGCAAAGTCAAATATGATATTCGGTTTTCCACATCCATACTCCCTTTCCTGTATGAAGAAGAGATAGAGGTGCATCCACAAATATCTTATTTGGAACCAAGCTTGATAACTTGAATTTCGTAGCATTCAGTTTCAAGGTTGCTATTGTTGTTGTCATTTCTATTGACAGTGTAGTCGTGTGTATTGTTTTCCTAATTCTACTTATTTTATTCTGTATCAGTTAAAATAAGTCTTCTCATGCTTCTGTATATTGTTCCTATTCACTGGTTCTTAAAGCATGGAAATATTCCATTACACACATCTACCCAATCTGTTAAACCATTCTATAATTGATGGGCTTCTTGTTGTTGTTCAATTGTTTTCAGTTGTGTCCAACTCTATGACACCGTTTAGGGTTTTCTTGGTAAAGATAATGGGGTAATTTACCATTTCCTGCTCCAGCTCATTTTACAGATGAGGAAACTGAGGCAAATAGGGTTAAGTGACTTGCCCAGGGGCACCCAGCTAATAGGTGTCTGAGGCCAGATTTTAATTCAGGAACATGAATCTCCCTGACTCCAGGCCTGGTACTCTATCCACTTCATCACCTAGATAATCAGTTTAGGTATCTGGTTTATTTCCCAGTTCTTTGCTATGACCAAAAAAAAATGTTGCTGTAAATCTTTTGGTCTATAGAAGTCCTTTTTATCTTTGACTTCCTTGGAGTATATGCCTAGAAGTGGGACTGATGGGTCAAATGATATGGGCATTTTAGTCACTTTCCAAACTGCTTATCAGAATGTTTGGGCCAATTCACAGCTCCACCAATGAGCATTACAGAGACCATCTTTTTACAACTACTCCAACATTTACTATTCCCACCCTTGATCATCTTTACCAATTGCCTAATACATTATTTTTAATAGATTTTATTCATGCATTTTGGTTTTATATCTCCTAGATCTCCTGAAGTATCTCTCCACTTCCCCTTCCTGAGGACCATCCCTTATAACAAATAATTTTGCCTATTACATTTTTAACAGTGCTTGGGGTTAACAATGTGAGTGGACTCAGTGTCTCCCATTTTACCAATGGGCAGATGAAAGCATTTTAATGCTGTGTCCTAAATAGAGGCAATAAATATAGGCACCAAAGCAGTGTGGTTTGAGGGGTGATAGAAAACCAGTTTGACCCAAATTATATTATGGGCCATATACATTCCAGAATTATTCAGCTTGTAACAAGAACCTGTTAACTAGGTTCGGGTAATAAGTAGACAGAAGCAGAGGCAGGCTATCACCAGTCATCTTGACTTTTGTTTTGCCAATGGACTCCAATGACTCAGGAGGAGACAGTGAGGCT